AAATGGCTTGCTCCGCTGGAGCGCTTGGTAGCCTTTCCTACGGGGGTGGCAGGTAAGGACTGTACGTTGGAAAAAACACATTTCCCATGCCGATGCCAACAGCATAGTGATGAAGAGCATACAGAGGTTAAAAGCACTGCTACTGCACCTTTCTTATCAGTCCCAGGATACGGGAGTGAGAAACACAGGGAGAAGTTTCAGACATTGGGTTAGCTGTTTCCTGTGTGTTCAAGTCTTGGTTATTTAACTGACAATGAAATGGGCTACTTGTCACTTTTGTTTCTTCTCAGACAGAGCAGACCAGCTTTATCTATGTGGAATAGACACTGGAGAAGATTTCAAATCAGAAATATTTTTGTATTAAGGAGTCCACTGAAGTAGCAGAATTGGGTTTAAAAATGGGCAAATACTTCATAGGTCCGTATTGTTTACAATATGTTCCCTATAAACTCCTGTTCCTTATAAATGTTCCTTATAAACTGCTGGGGTTTCATAGTAGTGTAACTCCAGAGAGATGTAGGTATATTCTCTCTTGGCATTTTGCTTTGTCTGTCCCACCCTTTTTCCCGTCGTGCTTCTGTTGCATTTTTACCTGCTTAAATCCTTTTTTTTTTTGGGGGCAGTTTAACAATTTAATAATCAGAAGGATATCACAGGTTGTAGATACGTGTTTCTGAGTGAAAAGCGTTCTGACTCTGTGCTGATAGGATTAAGTAGACAGGTAGAATTGCAGGACAATGTAGTGTGGAAATTTACCATCACACTAAAATGCTGCTGGTGAAATCTTCCTGTTACGCTTGTAAGCCCCAACTGCCTTAGAAGGAATTCCCAAACATGTTGTTGGAGTTGTTATGTTGTTGTATCTTAATAGCTGTTGGTAGAATGATTTGTATCCAGCGTACTTACTGGACAAGAGTCTGCTTCTCTGCAGGGTCAGGGAATAGTCCTTGGAAGACGTTTATTTACATGGCATTTGAAGGGATGTAAAAAGGTTCACATCCATGTCTGTCTTCAGATCTCCTTTTTTGTCTTGGCTGATAATCACAGTAAAGAGATCACTTCTGATTTCTAGGTGATAAACACAAAAATGTCTGAAAGTCACCAAAAAGGTAGTTTCTTCTTGTGCGCTATGAGTAGCTATGTATTCCCTGGTACTATGTAGCATGATTCTGTGTACTCTGATTCCATATGGATGCGCTATGTGTTACAGTCAGGGCACACCCTGTATTCCCTCATACCAATACAAATTTCTGTGCTGCTGGTTGGAATGACAGAACCCTTCAGGACAGCAGTGCGAGACAGCTGGGCCAGCAGCGAAGGCCTCCACAGCGTTTTCCTATGTAGCTGTATAGGGAGCAAGGGGAAAGGAGACAAGTATGGATTTAATACTCTTGAAAAGACTGATTTCAATTGAGGAGGAAATTTACTTTTTACCTCTCTCAAATCTTTAGTTTAGGTTCTAGCAAAGTATTCTGTTAGTTGCCAAGCCTTTGACTTCAGCACCCTAAACATTTTCTGTTGGGCACATAGCAAACGTTCTTAGCTCTGGGCTGTATATACCACACGTTGGCTCATATTCGTGTTATTTGGTACTGTTTTTCCCCAGACAATCTTCAGGTTTTCTCAGGACCAGCATGGACTTAGCTGGCATCCCTTAGAGAGAGACAGCTGTGTATAAAAAGCAAGAAGTATAAAAAGTTCCAGTTCACCTCATAACTCTCAAGTTTCCTTTTTTACACTTCCAAAGTTGTTTTCAGATGCTTGTGTGCTTCAGGGTTATTGATGCAATGACTTAAATCATGTTTTATATCTCTTTCAGGTGGAGTTGGAATTACATGTTGGCTTGTGGTTTGTAATAAAGTTGTAGCTATCATGCTACACCCTTTCAGCTGAGGGAATCCCAGTAATCCATGGAGTCCTAAACTACATTTTCATTATCAATGTTTTAAATTAATAATAAAAAATAAGAACAGTCATCTTTCATGAGGCTGTGTCTGAGATAATCTTTGTTACTTCATTTGGATATCAGTCAGTATTCCTTTTGGTTTATTTTATCTTTCTTGGTTTGCTCTTCAGTTTTCAAGGAATAGCATTGCTGTTTGTAGAACCTCATTTTATGTCTATTTCGACCACTGTGAACACTGATTCATGGCAGAACCGTAAGAGTTTGTCATGGCATATTCACCAAAATCAAAAGTGTAGCATTTGTATTTTTAAGTTGGAAATGCACTGACATGAAGAATTAATTCTGGGAGCTTTGCTGTTTCTTTGCTGTATAATATGGCAGTTTCACCCAAAGGTCGATTATATTTGGTGACAAGTGGTACCAGAGGATAGAGGTGAGAGTTAGTGAAAAACAGAAGTAGTTTCCTCCTCGTTATTATTTACACTAGAATTGTTTTCTTGGGCTTAAAATGCATTATTGATATAATGCATTATCGATATATATGGCGAATCAACTTTTTATATCTTAAGAGACTCACTCAGTTGCCAAATACAGGACGGCTGGCTACTTTTTCTTCCCTGACTTTAAATTCATTGAACACTTGAATTTTTTCCTTCCTTTTTTGATAACTGACCTTTCCTTCCTTAACAATTTTCCTGCTTCCCAAACTGAGTGAGGATCACTGAAACTATTTCCTTCCGTGCTTTGGGAGGAGAGATCTGGCCAGCCTTCTCAAGCTCCGTGTTAAGAAACAGAAGACAGTACTGTTCCTCCGGAGGACTAAGTTTCTAAGGGCTTTAGCACACATTAATGACATTAATGACAGTCCAGGACAGCTGTGTACATGTAAAAAGGCAAATTGGTCATTTAAATGTCTAAAGTCCTAACAGAATGGTAGCAAGCAGGAGGAGGAGGAAAAACAATTTTCACGTTTGGAGTAAATCCTTCTTGCTGAATCAGCTACAATATTTTTTAATTTAAAGGCGGACAGAGTTCTAACAGATGGGTGGTTTATAAAATTCCACACCTTCTTTTTTTTTCGACGTGAGCCTGAACAAAGCGCTAGGGGACACTTACCCTCTTCTGCTGGGCTTCTGCGATTTTGGTTCTGCTTCCCACTCTGTACAGTGGGATGCATTTGTTGTGCCATTTCAGGTCCTTTGCCTTCCTGCAGGAAGGGGCTGGGGCGCGTCCGTAATTAGCACTGCATTTAGAAATTCGTTCAAAAGGTCATGATACATTGTGTGTGTATGTATATATGCATGAAATGTTGGGTTTGGGTTTTTTTAAAATGTTAATTTAAAAAAAAATATTTTATATTAGGGATTACATTTAGGCAACATGAAAACATGCGTTAAATATCATCAAGAAAAAAATGTTGTGATTGAATGTTGTGTATAATTGTGTTTTTATTAATGAAATAAAGCTTTTCAACCCATTTCAAGTTTTCTAATCCATTTTTAAATGTTCCTAAAAAAAAACCCCAACAACCCCAAAACCCAAACCAACAACACCCCATCTGCACCCCCATGTTCCTGCATCAGGAGATACTGTTGGAATCAAGAGGCCTAATTTATTATTTTTGTAAAGTATTCGGGACAGATTATTTAACTGTGGCATCGACATATTTCTGAATCTAAAGATGTGGCTAATGGTATTTCTGCTTCGCTTGTTACGGAGTTCAGCACGGTGGAGCCAAGAAAAGTAGCATGGTTTAACATCTTCACAATGGCATTTGCTGTTTGTCCACACTTTGCCTGGAGTCATCAAACGGGTAGTTTGTCAGCTGCAGTCATCGAACGTTCGGGTGAGTAAGGGCAAAACTGTGGGCTTGTTGGCTCCCAGCTTTGGGACAGCAGTAAAGGCCTTGTAGAAGGATTAATGTTTCATAGTGCGAAACACCGCTCTCCTGACTGCACAGTGTCATTCTTTGAAACCTGTCCCCTGTACAGCTTAAGCACTACTTCAAGGAAAAACCTTCAAAATTTTGAAAAGAAAACATGCTGCAAGTAGGTTCAGATCGAAATGTCTTAAATCATCTTTTGCGGTATAATTTCTTGAAGGATTTGTTAGTGGGTTTTTTTTTTTAAGTACTACTGTCTTTTAATATTAATAGAATATACATAGTTTTCCCTAACTTCACATTTTAGCAAACGTTTCATGAATCACTAAAACATAATCCTCCTACCCTTGCTTACATAACCTTAAACACCGGATTTTTAAAGGCTTTTTGAGAACTGGATATGCCTGACTTCTCCAAAACAATAGTTTACTCTTGCACATTCATCTTTGGATGTCAGCTGTGGAAGTTACCAGGCAAACTGCTTTGATAAGTTCTAACAGTGGAAAAGAATGAAGCTTTAGAGCTTTATAATGCTAAGCAAAAACAATGTAATAGCAAATTATTTTTATTATGTGTGAATTCTGGAAGCTATTTCAGGAGCGAAGAAAATCAAAAATTATTTTCTTTTATGACATTGTTGGTACTAACCCAACAATGAACCTTATGAAAGCAGATTGCTCACTCCAGCTAGCTAACGAATAATTGGCTTCAAAATTCCAACTGTAGAGAGAATGCAAAAAACTGAAAATTACAAAACAAGGACTAACTTTGACACCTGATAACAGGTAAAAATGTCATAATTGTTAAGGCACTCTCACTAAGACATATATGCGTTCACGTGGATGCACATGGACCAAGAAGAATGTTCATTTGTGACAACTTGATTATCATTTTGGAAAAATCATTGAAAGAAATTCTCAGTACTTCTAAGGTTTAACATGCCTTTAATGAAGGTAAAAACATTGTTTTTTAAAAAAAATATTTTAAATGCCCATAATTTCAGAGTAAAGCTAAGTTGACGTACTTAACTAAATATCAAAATAATTAGTTTGTGCATTCACATGAGGTTGTAACCACTTAACGATTTCATTAGTGTTAGATGCTTTACATTATGAACTGGTAGAGGCAGCTGAAATTTGGCTTGTGTAATCCTGCATCCTCTCACTTCTCTTTCTCCATTCCTCTCATGTTAGAACTTGAATGGTTGTCTCTTCAAACACAGCCTGGTCCAAAGAGTTCTTTCATAAGACTGTTTTTCCTTTCAGCAAATGTCATATGAGCGCAGCCTTCTGCTTCAGTGCCACTGTCCTCCCGCCCTGTTCTGGTAACTTTACTAAAAGATGGTTCATGCAGCCCAAAGGAATTTTTCTCTTCTGATTCAGCTGTTTCACTGCAGGCCTGACCTGCGTGTCTACGGCTGCAAAGACTGCCTGCTTGGGGTTTTGTACGTGGTGTGGGAAGCCCATCATGCAAATTCTCAGTGGCTTCTGAGAGTATGTGGGGGCTTTTCAGCCTAATAAGTGTTTTGTTTGTTAGCTCTGGAGTGACACATTTACTCCCCTCGCTGTCATTTAGCTGTTCATCTGGCTTTTTTGCTTCTTTTTCATAGTCTTCCACTGCATCTTTCTCTTTATTGTTCTCTTTTACTCTGTCACTTAGAGGATCTGTTTGTTCAGTTTTCATCAGTTTTTTCAGCTCCCGTTTAAGCACATCTGTCTCTTTTTCTTCTTTCATAAATTCCAAGCAAGTGTATTCTTCTATCAGTAGTCTGCCCTCCCTTAAATACTCTGAAATGAAATACTGCAGGCTTTAGGAATGTTCTTAAATTGCCTAGGAACTTAAAGAATCATGAAGCGCTAATGAGAGCAAGTTTTACTTCCTGATTTCATTGCTTAAGTTGTTACTATTGACTGTATTTCAGTCTTGAGGGTTATGATAATGCTATTTACTAATAAATATAACAGGATGGGGCAAGATTTAAATAAGATCATTGTGCCCTTGAATCCAGTTAAATATCTTTATTTTTACATTTTTCATTATGTTTAATTTTATTAAATGAATTAGCATGCAAATATAATCGGTAATGGCTAAATGTAAGGCCAGAAAAATGCAACAGAGAAACCACGAAATCTAAACTCTAATGGTAATTTTCTTGCTTTTAAATGGAACTTAAATATATGTGTGACTTTCTCTCCCTTAAGTGGCAACACAAATACTTATTGTGTGGAGCAGAATATACTGCAACTCTCTAACCTACAAATGAGTTGGCTCTGCTTTTTAGTAGATAAAGGTATGTGTATACTGAATGCCTACACTAAATACGTTTGTCTGCTGCAGGGGACCAATTATAATAGGTTCTGTGCTTTGGAGAGACTCGAGAGTACCTCCGGAATGAGAGAGAGAGTCCAAGCTTAAAGGGGAAGTATGAAGTTGCAATAACTAATACGGCAAAATAAGACTTCAATAAATAAGTCTAATACCATCAGTGGGAAACAGCCAGAAGCAAATCTGGCGATCAGTGAGGAGAGAGATTCACAGGCAGAATCAGAAGACTTGTGTTTTCTGTCAATTTTAAAAGGAGATTTCAAAGACAAATGGTGACTTCAGTTACCTGGTGGGGTCTGGAAAGGCTGCATGCTGAAAAGGCGGAGTACCAAATACAGGAGTTAACACATTCCAGGTTACGAGCTCTGTTACTGACCTAGTAAGTAAGTGACCTCAACAACCTGTTTCACTTCTGCAAAAGCGTGACCTTTTGGTCATGTTATGTCTCCTACCATTTGTGAAGTATTTAGCATGATGGCATTCAGATCTTGGCTCTTTCTACAAGCCTCACTAATGAAAAAATTAATGAAAACAACATTAATATTTTTAGAAAGAAACACTCAGATTAAGGAATAGATGCATTGGTTTCTTCTGTTCTATACAATCTCTTCCAAGTAAAGGTGTTTTTAGATGAGTCCCTTGCATATATCCGTTATATGAGAACACAATCCATGGCTGAGATTCACATAAAATCTATTTACAGTGATCACTGTAATGAGGAGATACTCCCAGCCCTTGAAGAAGTCCTTTTCCTTTTTCAGCAATAGATCCTGAGCCAGAAATACATGCTGACATCAGCTATGATGAAGATTCACAACCAACAGTTTGAGATCAGTATTTGATTAGCGTGGAATTATCAAACTATTGACTGAAGTTTACTTTTACACATAAAGCACTGACTTTTAACCAGCGTGACCAGGAACACCTTTTAGAAGTACGGCAGTATGGAGGTGCCTTCTACTGTGGAGCCTCTCTGCTCTCAGTGCAGCACTGCCAGCAGCTGGATTTCAGTGACCCTTAATACATTATTTGGTTGAACTAGTTCCTGTCAGTCAGGTGCCAGCTAATGGCTGTCAGACCCATGTAAATTACCAATACCATTGGTTCATTCAACTTTTGAAAAGACCAAATGAGTTTCTGAGAAAAAATGTTAAAATATACCTGTATGTGTGTGGCTAAAAGTTTCTGGCTTTGGTATTTTCTTGGTTGATTGCTTTTCTGTCCCACATTGGGCATCTGTGTATGCTTCATTTGTTTTAGCTTTTTGATTCTTATCTTCGGAAGAATTTTCCTCCTATAATTGGCAATTAAAGTTAACAATAATGAGAGAATACTTGTTTAGCGATTTCTAAAAGCACACAGTCAGTGCAGTGCTTACAAAAAGATGAATAATTTCTGTTACTATTGTGTTCTTATTTCGTATCACAATGTTTGTCCTACATATTTTCTGTAATATAATTACACTCACACAAAATCCACATCCTAAAAGTTAAGATGATGGATCAGGCTATTGAGGCATATTATTAAAACTTGCAGAATAACATACAGCTTAATGGAGAGCTTAAACAAGGGATTGGATCCAGATCTTTCATACCTTTGTCAGCTGAATTGGACTTCTTTTTGTTTCCAGAGTACGATACTGTGACAGCAGCAGTGATCTAAAACTTTGTTTATCTACTTGTACTGATCTGTTTACACTAAGACCTATTGAAAAAGGACAATTGTTAGTAATACTGCAGTTTCTAGAATTATATTGTTGGTATAGACAACAGATATCTTTGACGACAGATAATACTGGTATGTGGCCGAGGGTTGAAACTTTTTTTTTTTTTTGCTGCATGTCTTAATGCACTTTAATAATGAAATTCTTTGTTCTGCCTGATCTATAAATGCTGAAACTGGAACACAAACATAGCTACCTGGACTTCTGAGGGTTTTCATTCATCCATTCATCCAGTACCTCATAAATATACTTAAGTTTTAGCTCTACAAAGTCCTACCAGATAGAATACGCAAAGTCCAACAAATGCGTCTATAACCTAGAGCCCAAAGAGCCTTAACGTGTGTGGTAACATTCTAATGTAAATTTAAAAGGTCTGTTATGAGGCCTCAGCTTTCAGGTTCCTAAATCTGGATCTCGCAGAGTGTAATAAACATGTTTGCTTTTATGCCTTCTGACTTGGTTACTCACCTTTCTCCAAGATAAGCACTTATGTAAGGCTCTATGGAACCAAACTCCTCAGAGGAAACGCTTAACGCTGTCTGAAATAGCTATGGCCTTTGGAAAAAGATTCCAAGGGATTGAATGAGACATTTAAAGAAATAGCTGAATGGAGAGGGGATGGGGAAGGTGAGTATATTGTTCTTTCCTATTTTTAGAATAATTTCAACATGAGTACAGTAGCTGAGAAAGGCACTAGCCCAGCACCAAAAATGCGACTGTACCTACATCAACATTCGACCTTATTCCCGATTTTGATCTCTGAAATCAGAGAAAGACTACCCATAAAAATGGTGCTCTTCAAATGTTTGCAGCTTGGTGGTAATAAGGATGTTGGTAACTAATTTGAGGATTACTCTTGAAGGAACGGCCCTGATGAGGTGGAGGGAATTAGTTTTGCCTTTTGACAGGAAACCAGCAAGTACCAGCTGCTTTTTCAGCCGAAATCAGCGGAGCATTCCTCAGATTCAGAACTAGGGGGAGCTGTACCTCTAGATGAGCAGGTGTGACCACCCGACAACTAAGCAAACTGCTCTCATGGAGGGTTTATGAAATTAATGGCTTCGTTCAATAAATCAATTTTATTTATGTACATAGACCTTTCTGATGACCTAAGCAAGCCTACCTTCAGCTATTTATCAGGAGTGTTAAAAAATGCAGCCCCGTGTTTCTTTTTTTCTTTCCTGCTGGGTAAAAATTTTTGCAAACACAGAATAGAAAATAACTACTTGAAGAAGTAGCTCTTTCTACGTCTGTTATAGGAAATTCAAGTTAATAGTTAAAAGGAAAAACAATTCTCAGTAATTCGAATTCTAGATTTCTAAATCATCTGTTTCTATTAACTGGCAGAGAATGAAACCTTTATTGGCCAAAAATACCAAAAGATCAGACAACTTGGCTTGGAACCATTTCGTTACAAAATATCAGGTATCTCTCCAACTAAGCTCCCTTATCTTGCTTAAAGACAAGAAGAACTTAAACAGAAAACAGTGATTTAAATACTGTAATTTAAATAGCAATATTGGACAAGTCCACATGTGAGTATAATTAAAAAACCCACAGCTGGTTATGTGATGTAATTAAAACTGGAATTCAGAGCTTCATAAAAAACTCATCTGACTTTGGATAAGACGTAGGAATTTGTGTTTCTTAATTTTACAATTTGAATTACCAACCTTTTCCCTGTAATTCACTTGTAGTTAAGGCAGAGTGATGGGTTTGCAAAGGCAACAAAGAAGAAAGAAATAAGCAATAGAATACTGTAAGACTTTGTACTGATACCATGATTTGAAGAATTCTGTGGGCATGTACAATATTTCCAGCAGATATATTTGGTACCATGTAAATTTTAAGTGCTCTTCGGTACCCATATGAAGAAAGTTCCAGTTCCTCCTTCGGTTTAGGAGCAGGAATATCTGACCAGTATTTTAAAGAGGTGCTTAACCCAGGGAAGTCAATGTTCAGATCATTATCCAAAATTAAAGGGTGTAAGTTTGTTGTGCAGAAAGCTCTCCTTGAAAATATTGACAGAATGTTTATGATCCGGAGTAGGAGGCAAAATATTACTTTTAATGTGGGGAAAGAACTTAAAAACTGTTTATTAGTTTCTGTATAATACACCTTTATTAGTAAATTCTAGATACTACATCAAAGCACATGACAATTAGGAATTTATAAATGCTTCAAGAAAACGATCTTGATTTTTGTCCGTGATGAATATAGCGAGCACATGGGCAATATAGCAGTCCTTGGTTTGTATGATTTGTTAATTGTTTTTAGCTCCCTCAGTTCAAGGGATGGGATCCACTTGTCTGAACACAGGTGCCTAATGGTATTTGAGATGCCCTTGAGTATTCGAGGTATCCACATAAGGCTGGCCAATATTAGACAGAAGCAACAGGACACCCGTGTCATAGAATCATGGAATGGTTTGGGTTGGAAGGGACCTTAAAGATCATCCAGTTCCAACCCTTCTGCCATGGGCAGGGACACCTTCCTCTAGATCAGGTTGCTCAAAGCTGCATCCAACCTGGCCTTGAACACTTCCCGGGATGGGGCATCCACAGCTCCTTTGGGCAACCTGTTCCAGTGCCTCACCACCCTCAGAGTGAAGAATTTCTTTCTTATATCTAATCTAAATCTGCCCTCTTTCAGTTTCTGAAACAAAAACTACAACAATTACAGGGTCAGGCAGAATGTGCTAGGACATCTCAAATGGCACTGGATGCCTATAATTAGGCAGATGAATCCCACACAAGGTAGCTGCTCTTGGAATGGCTGATAGACAAGATTGCATACCACAGGTATTTCTCTCCAATACCTGTCTAAGCATCCATGTGAAAGAAATACTCTTTACAAAAGAGGTCTTTCTTACTTGACAGAATTAACTTTCTATTGTTCTTTTCTATCATTCTGCTGTGTTATTCTAAATAACATCAATTCTGTTGATAGAATTAATAGAGAGGATATACAATAACTGGCTTGCCCATTTAAATTTACTCCAGGTGAAAAACAAAGGACTACTAAAGAGAAACATTCTCTTCTCTGAGATAAGCTGACAGTAAGATCATCAGACTAGCCTTTAAACTTCCTAAACCTTGTATCTGAAAACTCCTCCTCTCCTTTCACCTCAACAAAATGCAAGTTGCAGAAGCTTCAATAATAGACATTGAAGCATCTCTGCTATTTATAAGTTACAGGGTCTAAGGATTTTAAAGATGAGAAAACAGTTTTTAAAGACCCAATTAAAGTCATTATTTTTTGCTGATATAAAAGCACTTTGAAAGTCTGTACTAAAACTAGTAACTACAGGAGGGTTGTTTGTGAGGCACTTTGATTTAGTGAGCCATGTTGTGGGAATTCTAGGTCTAGGGTGGCTGCTTCCCCAGGCCAAGTCAAAGGGAAGAGCCTGAACAAAAATTAGCCTGCAAAAGCTTTGTGGACTGATAGCTTCACCTTGTTAAACAAACAGGCAATCAGCTCTTGATGCAAATAGACACTTAAAATAGCAGCACTACTCCACTGTTACTGTTAGTATACTAAAACTCTGTGTATTAAATGCTATTCATGATGAAATTTAGGTTAAATATTTAAAACACATCATCTATTTGTATTCATAAAATAAATGAGCAAAACACCAAGTACTTCTCTTCATATTGCATGTGCGAGAATATTTTTAGCCCATGTAAGGTACAATACTGGCTTTTATTTGGGAATATATGTCCCAGTTATAAAACAGTTTTAAATAACTAAACGACAAAGGAAAATGAATATACACGTACTTTTTTCATGAGGTACTGAATCACCTTCGTCTTTTGGGATTTTAGGCATCCAATTTGCATAGATATTTTTTACATAAAGTTGCCGATCCTTTTCCTAAGAAGAAATAAACACTATTAAGCTTTTAATATGCACAAAGAATTACTTTTTACCAACTTACTTTTCCCATATTGAGAGAAAACTGCCAGCAATTTTGTTTTGTGCCAGGCCATGTGATGACTTTGTCATTTACATAAATAGGAATCTGTCATTTTCTTTCTTGAGCCAAACCAAAATTCTCCCTTTTTAAGGCTGAGAACACACCTGCGTGATCTTTTTCTTAACACAACGGTCAGAAGAGGAAGCCTTCTCTAAGGATTTTTTCATTTGTTGTTCCCGGTTATTTGTTTCAGACTAAGTAATTTTTGGCTTTACTTCCTTTTCTTTATTTTTTTTTTTTTTACTAGCTCAGTGCCCTTGGTTACAATATGCTTAGTTCTGGTTTACAACCTATTGCTTGGGAGGTGACATAAACTTCAGAGGCACAAGTTTAAAATGTATTTAGCGACAGTCCTCTTTCCATACTGAAATCCATCTTAAACATGGAAGAGATATTTCAGTAACACTCTTACCACATCATTTTTTAGTGTGAAAAAATAAGATCTATGTTTAATTTGGAGATACAGGTTGATCTGGAAGGGAATTGTGTGTCTGAATACCTTGAATGGTCTGAATAAGCCAGGTGCCCAAAACTATGACTGTGTAAGAATAAACTCTGTTCTGGCTCAGAAATAAGGTTAATAAGCATGTCTGGTCTTCTTCAAGGTAAAACAAGAGAAGGTTTTGTGAATCTAACATTAAGAGAACTGGACACACATACAGAACAGTGAGGAAAACACATGAAATAAATAACAGAAATATTTTAGAGAGGCATTAAGGTGGGAACTGTACTCTAGAAAAATTTGCATTTTGGAACAGTTTCACATTAGCGTTCCTGGGACTATAATTATTCCCGTCTCCCACATCTGCACATATAGGGGGAGATCAGACTCTGGCAGGGTAATAGCACTGCAAGTGCTGTTGTGGGGGACTTTGATATGGGGCCTGGGAAGAGCACTGTACTTTTTTCCTTTCCCAGCAGCTCACTGAGGTTTTGCAGCTGGGCAGCCTGGTTGGTGCCAAATATCAGGAGGAAAGTTTCTGCATCTGATACATGGGTAACAGGGACAAACTGCCCCTGTACAGAAATGCAAATCTCCACGAATCCTCAGGAGTTGCCAACTCTGCCCTTCACAATGGGGAAAACTTCCCATAACAACATCTTTCACAGACATTTGATTCCATTTAGAAAGAGAAAGCTCCCTAGTGGGATCAACAGGCAGATCGGACACTTTACATAGAAATGAAGAAAAGTATATTTTAACTGTGTTACAAATACAGTTCCAATTATTAAAAAGCCACGAGGGTCTTCTTGTTTACAACTCATATGACATATCATTCATGGCAGTTTTGTTTCTATTTCTATTTAGTGTCACTTTTAGGTTTTCCTGTATGTTTGGTTTACAAGCGTTACTGTGAATGTTGAACTGGATATATTTGTCCCAAAAATATTTGTCTAAAACCCAAGCTGGAATTTGAAACAAGCTATTGAAACATTTACATATGTCTTTCTGTTAAACTCTAGTTTTGCAGATTGTAATACTTGGCTCATTTTGATTTGGAAGTGTTTCTGTAAGGGAGCTCATTAAAAGTTAGTAAATGAATATATTGACATGGATCTATCAAAATCATAACAAGTTGGTGGTGATTATTTGTTCAAATTGTAATGCATTAATCTCTGTTTTGATTAGTTATTGAACTACTTTTAACTTCTGACAAATAGATCCCACAATAATTTCATCATTTTATATTTTGACTTTTTTTGGTAGTCTATAGACTCAAGTAGGAAACAAAAATACCATTACTAAATAATATAGATGTGGCAAAGGTAATAGATAGCATTAAATACTTGAATCTTCTTGTAGGAACAGAAACCTGTTTAAAATCTTGAATACCTTAATTTTTTGGTGAAGAGAGTTAATTTCCATTTGCAAGTGCTTTGTAATTATCCCAGCTTCCACAGCTTTCTTGTTCTCATTTGCCAACTGTCGATTAAAGGTTGCAACTGATGACTTCAGCTGCTTTTCTAGGCTCTTAAAAAAATCACATATTTTACAAAACGGATGTACTCAGTATGACTGTTGAAAATCTCAGTTCTTACCAGATCTAAAAACCAAGCATGCTAACATAATTAGAAGCTTCCAATAATTATATTCTATTGTAAAAAATGCATGAAATCATGATGAAGTATCTGAAAAACAACTTTAAAAATGAGGAAAACCTGGTTTAAAAACTAATTTTACTAAACAACAAAAAAAATATTTTTGTTTGGCATTCGAACACGAAAAATAAGGCTGTACCTTACCTTTCTGATGGATTAATGAATAGAATAACCTTTGAGAAATGTTAAGAGAACATTTCTGTTCACACTCAGGTCTATTAACTGTGGCAGCAGTTAATAGAGGCTTAATGTAAAGGAAAACTAGGTAATTTTTTTGCATACTTTATTGAGTACTCTACCATCAGAACCCAGTGCCATGCACTGAAATTATAATTACTAACATTGTGAGGTGGACACCCAATCCTGCAAGATTCTTATGGCTGCTCACTGGAATGTCTGTAAATAGGAAGTTTTCAGAAGAGTGTCTGAATTCAGCTGTTTGTATTTTAGTTTTCTTTCATGTAATAAATGTACTTCAGACTTAGCTTTTCAGACGGTGAAATGCCTCTAAGATTACCTGGCTCTTTTTAATTCTGTGCATAATGTACCCCATAGAAAATAGAAATTATTTCCTGGAGGAGATGGAAATTTCACTCTTCCCGTTTTGCATTAAAAACTGTAGTCCTGTCTTTCTGTGAAAGGTTCAATAAGAGTAAAGAACCATGAGATATTAAAAGGAGATGAATTATCTCCTCTTAAACGCCCATCAGCCTTTTGCTACAGTTGTATAATAAAACAACAACACAACCAACCCTAAAATCTAGGACACTTGACTACTGCCTAACTCAGCAGCTGCCTTACAGCTGACTACAGTGAGTGACAGTAATAAGTGAGATGCAGGTATGTCCATGTTGCTCACCAGCGCCGAGTAAAAATAACGGTGCTAGTTCCAGATAAGCCAGCTTTGATTGTTCGAGGAAGTAGATCAGCAGCAGCTTGGTGATCTCCATGTGTGACTAATCCCGTGCTTTGCCAGGGTAAATTAGGGTCTGTGCTGTTGTGGCCGGACAGCCCAAGCAAGCCTGGGTACCCCACGCTGCTGGCAGGGAGCAGAGTAGACACTCTGCTGAATATTGCTCTCCAGCTGTACGCTACGCTTCTGACCTAACAGGGTTAAGGCATAGGACTTAATTAATTCCTTAAAGATCTTTCTTGCCAAACTTAATCCACTCATACATTTCTGCCAGATTTTAAAGCTCTGGAAAGGGGTACTTCTGCCATTTTTAGTACCTTACACTCAGGATAGCACTGGACTAAAAAGACTGTTCAATGTTACGAGATTGTATCAGAATCATTAACGTGACAAGAAGCAGCTAAAAACATTCCACTGTTCTTGCACAGAATTACTGTTTCACAAATACAATGATATGCACATATTACCTGTATTCTCTTATCGTTCATTTCCATTTTTTCTGTAAGGACTGACAATCTGTGACTAAGCTCCTCTTTCTCTGCAAGAGCTTTGTCTCCTGAAAGCATATGCAAGGTCTGCAAAGCATCTTTAGTTTTTAGCAGCTCTGCTTCAACTTTTCTGAGCTTCCTGGATGTACTTCTCTCATCCTCCTGAGACATCCTCAGGAGTTTCTTTAAAGCTGTCACCTCATTACAATGACTTGCTAAAAGATCTGGCAAGTTACTTTCTGCATTTTTGTATCTGCTTATTGCTTTCGAGTATCGACACTGAAGCTTTTTCAAAATGTGGTTTTCTAAGCTTGATGCTTCTAATTTGTGCTTTAAATCAAATATTTCATTCTTCAGTTCTTTAATTCTGTGAAGTCCTGCTGATGATATTTGCTGAGCCATTGCATTTTTTTTCTGGGAAATCACTCTACTCTGCAGGCTTAAAAATGAAGAATTCTGATGTAGTATCTTCTCAGCTGCCATTTTTTTTCCTCCTGCATTCAGATCAAAGTAAACTGACATTGATATATAGCAATGATTTGAGACAAGCAAAATCACTGTATCTCTACTGCTCATATAAACCTCATATACTGCTCATTCAAGCTACCTAACTGTGGTATATTTGACAAAATGCCCAGGATCTATACCAAGACCCCACTGTTCAAGTATTTCACAGATAAATCCATTAAAGATTTTATATCTCTGTGTATGCATTTCTGTGGCTGCGCTGGGCCATAACTAACTAGGTCTAAAGTAGGTCAAAGTTCCCTCCTTTCATTCTCTGAAGCCATTTTCATTCGAAAGAGCCATCGTGCTTACTTTCCATTAATAAAGGTAACTACACAGGTGGTGTCTTCAGAGACAAACAGCAACAATACTCTGGGAATAACTTAGTAACATATCTTTATGTTAACTTCAGTATCAATGGAAACAAATTTTCTCTCTGTAAATCATGCACTTTGCTAACGTAGGCATGATCTGGGGACTGATGAATCAAATTCATCCCATCTAGAAAGATTCCCAAGAGGAAGGACCTATACCTTGAATAGGGGAAAAAAAACCATCATAGTAATCTACGGGTCTGCAAGAACTCAAAAATCAAGGTGATCACGATAGCACATGGTTAGATTTCTCTGCAGCTAGGATTTCTAACCAGCTTGCTAGAATTTTCCAGTCAGCTGTGAATTGAACTGCATTTTTAAACCTTACATTAGTACAGAATAGTTATGCAGTTATGCACAGTTTATATACAGCAATTGAAAAAAATCTTTATGGGCTAGCATTCTAAGTATATTACTGCCATTTGCCTTTCTTCATGGCCAGCATTCTAAGTGAATTACTCTCATTTTCCTTTCCTGAAACATAATTAGAATTTGAAAGCAGTTAAGACTAAATCTGAGCATCTTCCCCTCTTTCAGGCACATACCAAATTTCACTATGGCTCTCAAAACATTTCAGGCAGTATTTTGCCAGAAGTTTATTATAACAATTTATAGATCACATAACATTTTATGGGTAAAATAGGCAGGGTCCTAACCTAAAAAACACCAGAGGAATAGGACAGATCTTTTCAAGCACTTCTGTTGAATCCAATGGGTGCTCTGCACACAAACTCTTTACCAGAGCAGGCCCTAACCAGAATACCCCATTGCAGATGGGAAGCAACATCAAATCAGTGGTAGGAAAAGTAAAGCAGGACACTGCCTAGGGCACCACCATGCCATGGACCTCCTGCTTCCATGACCTAAGCCAGAATAGTGGAAAGCTACGGTAAGAGTGTTATCTAGGAAGACAGAGGCATGTGGGATGGTGGCTTCAGTGGGGAAAGGGCTCTTGCCTGCGGCAGCGGCACCTATTGCTCTCCCTCTCTCTCTCCTTCCTTGCCAGTAGCAGCCACACCAGCCTTTTCTCCACAGCTTCAGCCCAGCTCTGGTCCGCCCCTTCCCATGGCAGGGCCTAATGCCCATGTGCCCGGTGTTGGAGGCAGAGAGTTCGAGGAAAGTATGAAGGGGGTCTGCTACACAGTTTTGGCTGTCCTTTGCTCTCATTCCTGAAGTACCTGATCCACTCCACTGTTTCAGGATACAAACCAGATGGTCTTTGTTCTGATAGCTCTGTTGGTAGAGGAGAGAAAGCAGGGGCAAGCTGGTAGGGCCCCGCTCATACACAGCCATGCAGGGAGAACAGACTATCGAATTCAATGTGATAGCAAAAGGAAAGGATAGAAAGAATCTGAGATCAGGAATCCTTAAAAGGAGGAGAGGCTGTGATTTGGGCAGGGCAGTTAATTTTCCGCGTATGTTTTAAGTGGATTAATAAGGACTATCATGGAGGTTGGAGTAAGCAGAGAAATTCTAGCAGTCAGTTGAGGTCAGACACGTTCAATACCTTCTGCAGTGAGCAAAACTAACAGGTGCTGTGAAAAAAACTCACCAGAGGTAAAAAACAAAGCAAGCATCACGCCTGCATGTTCTCTGTAAAATAATTCCACTGCAGGAAGACTACGATACAACCACGAATGCTGTCACACAAATATTTGCAAAATGAGAACAACCATTGCATTACTATTTTATTTTGCCAGAACAGAATGAGAGGATGTAAAAGAAATGGGAGAATACCTTTCTGCAAAAGCTGACAAAAATACTGTAAAATTTATACATCTCTATACAGGGTGAAAATTGTGTTCCTGGGAAACTGATCTTTTCAAGTAGCCATGAACAACCAAAAATAAGCACTTAAAATACCCAACACAGCTAGTAGCCAATAATGATTCTTCTGCTAAATGGATTTAAAAAATGTGGTTATTCTCTCTAGTCTGCTAGTTTTGTGCCAGTATGACTTCTTGACAACAGCATATAACACATAATAGAAGAGATAATCAGTGGTTTCTCTCCTATTGGTTGATTTGCATCTTGTAGATTTGAGAGATCTAGATGAAATTTGGAAGCTCACCAGGAAAGGGACATTGGTTTTACACTAATTTTTTGACCTAGCATCGTGCAATTTAAGAAAGTATGGGTCTAGATATGAAAACATGCAGACATGAAAAGATTCTTTGCTGTTAACATTTATGTAAAGAGAAAACATTAGTGCTATATGGTCATTTCATTGAAGCATAAAATTTATTTTACTTGATACATCACGACTAAGCTGGCCAAAACTTGGCTTTTTGGTCAAAACTGACACTTTTGTGCAGACATTTAATTTTTGAGTAACCTTCCTCAGGAAAGGGTTTTTCAGACTCATCATGTGGTGCATGGTCAAAACTAGAAATTGCAGTATATGTGGGAGAGCTGTTTTAGTGTCCTCAGATTAAAACTGAAGAATAAGGACGGCAAAGGTTCTCTGACATCTCAGGTGATTACTCTGCCTGTTAGATCGCCAAGTATAGTGGGATAACGCAATAGGGAATCTCCCTTCCCTCCTCTTCCTAGTGTTTGAAACACGATTTATTATTTTTCTTCACTGAAAAACTGTTTCCTCTGTCTTCCTAATTACTGAAAAAATGCCAAAGAAAGGGAACAGTTATATTTCTAAAGAAAGTATCATTTTACTACTACCAGAAAACAAAGTGAGTTTTTTATCATCTTGGGGGGAGATACACTGTCCTTTTTTTCTTTTTTTCTTTTTCTTTTCCTGTGTTTTCTTCTCCTCAGTGCCTTATATTTCTAAACATTTGCTACTCCTAGCTGTTTCAGAGCAAGTCACTGACAAAGCCCTCAGAATAGCCAGTGTGAGAATTTTCAATTCTGTATTCTCTGCTGTGTGGCCTACAATCACTACCTCTGCTACAGCTGCTGCTTCTGATACTTCTGTGCTTTGAGGAATCTTTAGTATCCCTGATTTTTGTGCCATGTTCTGTCTTATTATCTTCTGTCACTAAACTATGGAGGAAACAATCACCTGAGTTCACCACTGTGTTATGGTAGAAGACTTAAAAGTTGACCTCCATAACCTATCAGGAGTCAGAATGTTATTGAGTTGTTTACATTTAAGATAAACACTACTAAACAGTGTTCAACTATATTAAACCATGCTAAGAAATACTGTTACCTTTCAAAACCACCCGCCATTACTCTTTAATCCATTAAAATAATCGTATGGTCTGTAGTAAGTGGGTAGGTTTGTTTCCAGAATGAACTGCAATATGAAATATACTAGTTTTTATCTCAGAATTTATTATGATGCTGGCATGTGTTTTCTAAAGATTTACAAGGTACTACCATTTGAATGTAAATAGATATCATAGTTTGTTTCCTGTAATATATACTCTTTCTCCACTATTAATGTGATTTAAAAGAAGTGTAATTGCATTTATGCTCAATACCTTAAAAGTGCTTTACAATATTAAAAAAATAAGTGTTCAAGTCTCTAGAAACCAGATATTTCTAATTGTGTTTTATAGTATTTTTAGCTTTGCATTCATGTAATAAAAATATCAGTCATATTTTTCAATAATTAGATCACAAATCAGATTAAAAAATTAAATAATGCATTAAAATAGAAAAAAAATCTTCGCTGCATTATTACAATTATAGACAGAGGATGTAGCAGAACGTAAAGCTGCACAACAGAGTACCTGATTTAGCGACTGAAATAAAGATTTTCTTAAACTTTTGAAATGTTGTTTGTTTAATTTATTTTCAAGTCAGAATTTTTTGTAGAAACAAAAAAGCTTGCTAAATAAAAACTCACAATGTAATAAAAACGTTGTTTTTCTGCAGAATTTCAGAAGAAATGTTAGGGAAAATTTCAGTAGTTTTTTAATGAAAACAATTTCTTCACAGCCTAACTATACTTAACATATTTGTTTGCTTTTGAAAATACTGTAAGACACTTATCTCCATGTCTATGCACTCATATAGCTCAGAAAATTTAACTTGAAATGCACTGTTATCGTCAGAGATATGGTTCTCTGATGAGACGATGATCTCATTTTGTTTGATTGGGTTCTAGGTAACGCTGCTTCCTCTGGAATTGTCTTTTCTCAATAGTTTAATTTTCAAAGCAAATGAACTCTCCTAATTGCTTAGCTTTTTTAAAAAAAACTATATTTAGCATAAAATATAGAATGCTGACTAATTTTCTATGTCTTTGTCAATATCTGTTACACCTCAATTTTTTTACCTACTGAGGCTACAGGAGATTAGAACAACAGATTACTTCATACTCCTGGGAGCACTATTTAAACATTGTAGTTCTGGTAAAAAATATTTCTTGGGATATAGTTCAATCCATTTCATTTTCTTAATGTCACATGAAGACTACCCAGACCATAGTTTTATAGATGCAGAACTTCACCCACTAGTAGAATAAGCTGTATATTTGGAGGAGGGGGTGCTCTGAAAGGGGCCGAGAATTATGTAAAAGAAATTTGAGGAGGGTTAAAACGATATTTAGTTCAGATGAACTTTAACAAGTAGCCTAAGCTAAAAAAAAAAAAAGAAGATATTTTTAGAACATTCTAACTACTTTGTTGGCATTTTTGCTTTTTCCTGACATTTTATTTTAAATTAAATTAAATTTCTTAAAGGGGAGAGGGGAATCTCGTAACTCCCAAAGAAAATGAAAAAGTTTAGAATTGCACAAAATGTTCTAGGTTGAATAAAAACACTTTCATTACTCTTCATTCCCTTGCAGAACAATTCTTCATTGTGGAAGACTGAGGAGTGCCCAGGGTCCTACTGAATTTGAGCGAGTGCAATAACCCCTAAGAGATGGGAACTCATATTTTATGATGAGGATTCGGCAGAGGCCAGCTTGGTACACAGATTTGTATTTCTGTTTAAATTTCATTTGGCACTGTCAACACTTTCTGGCCAAACTGTGTTTAAATCAAATTAGCTTAAATTAAATTTAAAACTACTGGTTTAATTTGTTTTGATGAGAAGTCTGAACCGCAACATCCAGCTTCGAGAGCAGAGAAGTAAATAAAATGGAAAAGGAGAAGAAATGACAGAAAAGCAAAAGGGAGGGACTAGAAACAGAAATGAAATGGAAGATATTACTATAGAAATGAAGAAAAAACCCCAAAAGCTGTAGCTGAAGGTGGAATGAAATTGACAAACACCAGGAGAATGCATGGTGAAGGAAGAAATGCAGAAAAAAAAAAAAAGTTAGAGTCAAATGTATCTGTCAGAGATGAAAATGCCATTTCAAGCATCCAGAAACTGCAAAACTGTCACAGGGAAGAATTAATTGCAGTCTATGTGCAAAGAGAGAGTAAGTAAAGGAATGGGGAGTCCTGGTAGGATCAAACAGTCTGACTTCCCGGGCCGGGAGGGTGCAGCAGTCCCTCAGCCCCACGGCTGAGCCCCAGGCCAGAGCAGCCCAAGGTCTAGGGGAACCAAGACGGGTGCCAAGGCCCACCTGCTCATGCAGGAAGGGCAAGGGCCCATCCAGGGCCCTCAGACGTGCCTCTGGCCCTCCTCCGAGGGCCCCAGACAGCTCCCTGATGTGGTCCGCACAAGGCAGAGCTCCCCCAGCACCCTCAGGAGTGCAGGGTTCCCCAGGGTGCTGGTGGGCTCCAACCGCCCCCCGC